CATTGAAATCAACCAAGTATAGATTCTCATATCTAGAGCCCTTGAAGATCAAGTTAGAGCCATCTACACTTATGATCTCTACATCATCTACTCCAAATATGCATTTGAATCCAAGATCACACAATTGAGCCATGGATAGCAAATTAAAGTTCAAGCTCTCTACTAGCAACACATTGGATATGCTCTATCATTGGATGTTGCAATCTTACCAAGCCCTTTGACCTTGCCTTTGCCATTGTCACCAAATGTGATACTATCATAACAATCATTGCCATTGGTATTGATTGAGTTGAACATTCTTGCATCACCAGTCATGTGTTGAGTGCACCCACTATCAAGAACCCAATGCCTTCCTTCGGCTTTGTAATTTACCTACAAAAGAAGATCAATTCTTTTTAGGTACTCAAATTTGCTTGGGTCCTTGAAGGTTAGTGACCAAGATCTTTGGCACCCAAATAGCTTTCTTCTTTGAGCCCATCCATGGTGTACCAGTGAATTTAGATTTCACACCATTTGTACCCTTAGTAAGCACATAGAAAGAATTAATCTTAATTGAGGATACATTAGCACTTTTGCTCTTGTTCTTGCACTCATGCTCTTTATGACCAACTTGCTTGCAACTAGTGCAAAACCAACCATTGTTCTTCACAAAACTAGTCTTGTGAGGAGCAAAGGCCGCCTTTCCTTTCTTGGGGTATAGCCTAATCCCTCTTTGAAGAGAGAAGCTCTTTGGCTACCCAAGCACATAAGCAAGCGGTCCTCACCACCATAGGCCTTAGCCAAGGTGTGAGTGAGCTTATTGACCTTCTTCTTGAGGGTCTCATTCTTAACCATTAGTGAGGCATTACATGTGAAACCATCACTATTAGATGAGGTGGAAGTGGAAGTGCTACAAGAAGGGTTAGTGAGAGCAATAATGATAGGCTTATATAATGATTCATCAATTAGGTCACAAGTTAACCCTACATTACATGTCTCAACATGCTTCTTCTCATTTTGCTCATCAAGCAAAATGGAATGAGCTTTTTCAAGCTTCTTGTGAGCCTTGCCAAACTTCTCATGGGCTTCCTCTAGACTCTCATGAGATGCATTGAGCTCACCAAAGGCTTGCTTAAGGGATTTTAGTTCTTTACGCAAGCTTTTGCATTCCCTTCTCTTAGCATCATCTAGCATATCAAGTACTTCATCCTTAGTTGGTTCATTATCATCACTATCACTTTCATTTTCATTTTCATTATCATGTTCCTCATTGCTTCCATCATCACAAGTTTGTACCTTAGTGGCCTTAGCCATGAAGCATGATGGAGTGTCAAAGAGAGAAGGCTTCTCATTGATAGCAATGCTTGCAAGTGCCTTCTTCTTGGTGGTCTTGTCATCATCACTATCATCATCATCACTTGAGGAAGCATCACTATCCCAAGTGACCACATATGAACCACCCTTTTTCTTCTTCTTGAAGATCATCTTGTCCTTCTTCTCTTTCTTTTCCTTCTTGTCCTTCTTCTTGTTCTTCTTGTTGTCATTATTGTCACTATTGTATGGGCATTGAGCAACAAGATGATCTTTGCTTCTGCAATTGAAGCACCTTCTTGATTCTTCCTTGTTCTTGGATGAAGACTTCTTTCTTCTAGCACGGTAGCCCTTCTTCATCATGAACTTACCAAATCTCTTGACAAAGAGAGCCATCTTCTTATCATCCATCTCATCAAAGCTCAAGTCTTCATCTTCACTTGATGATTCTTGCTTTGCCTTGCCTTGGATGATGTGGCCTTGAATGTCACACTCTTCTTCTTCTTCTTATCTTTCTTCTCCTTCTTTTCTTTCTTCTCATCATCATCTCTATATGTATCATCGGTCATTATATCTCCCAACACTTGGTTTGGTGTCATGGTGTCCAAACCACTCCTCACTAGAATAGTGACCAATGTGCCAAATCTTGAGGGTAAGCATCTCAAGAACTTATGGGAGAAGTCCTTGTCCTCCACTTTCTCACCAAGTGCTTTGAGATCATTGACAAGCACTTGTAACCTATGGAACATCTCCGGCACACTCTCATCCTCCTTCATCTTGAAACTAGCAAACTTCTCCTTGAGGATATATGCCTTGGCACCCTTCACGGCTTGAGTGCCCTCAAATGATTCCTCCAACCTCTTCCATGCTTCATGAGCCATCTTAATGTTCTTGATTTGCTCAAATGTTCTCTCATCAATAGCATCATGAATGGCACTAAGAGCAATGTCATTGTTTTGGAGAAACACTTCTTCGACGGTGGTGGGGTTCTCTGGATCCTCTATCTCAATCTTGGTCTCCACCACCTTCTAAACTTTCCTATTGATTGACTTGATATATGTTGTCATCTTAGCCTTCCAATAGAGATAGTTTGGGCCATCAAATTAGGGTGTCTTCTTGGTGTTGTTGATTTGAGCCATTTTTACACCGAAGGTTGTTAAGCCTCAAATCACGGTGACCATGGCTCCGATACCACTTGAAAGGTCCTAATGTCTAGAGGGGGGGTGAATAGCCTATTAAAAATTTATACAACAACACTAAGACAAATGATTAGTCAATAAGATGGAGAAGCGAATTTTGCGCTAGCACTATACTTGAGGTTGCAAGCCACCTACCCAATTCTATTTTCTATGATCTCTAGTATATCACAAAAAAGCTATGTCACTAATATACACCTAGGTGATCAACCTAGTGAGAGTAATACAATTAAATGATACACTATCTAGTCTTAACTACCACTAGCTCTATCCAAGTGAATGTATAATGAAATACAAGAGAGTGGTAGAGAGGTATACTGCCGTGGCAAGTGAACAATGAGTGAATACCAATGAATACCAAGGAGACAATCAAGACACAATGATTTTTCCTCTGAGGTTCACTTGCTTGCTGGCAAGCTAGTCCCCGTTGTGGTGATTCACTCACTTGGAGGTTCACACGCTAATTGACATCACACGCCAAACCCTGAATAGGGTGCCGCACAACCAACACAAGCTGAGGATCACACAAGCCACGAGTAATTTACTAGAGTATATTTTGGCTCTCTGCCGGGGAAAGGTCAAGAACCCCTCACAATCACCACGATCGGAGCCAGAGACAATCACCAACCTCCACTCGATGATCCTCGCTGCTCCAAGCCATCTAGGTGGTGGCAACCACCAAGAGTAACAAGCCAAACTAGCAGCGAAACACGAATACCAAGTGCCTCTAGATGCAAACACTCAAGCAATGCACTTGGATTCTCTCCCAATCTCACAAAGATGATGAAACAAAGATGGAGATGAGTGGGAGGGCTTTGGCTAAGCTCACAAGGTTGCTATGTTAATGCAAATGGCCAAGAGAGTGAGCTAAAGCCGTCGAAACGATATTTATAGACACCCCCAGACAATAGAGCCGTTGGCTCAATTATTGGGCTGACTGCGGGACGACCGAACGCGTAGGTCGTGTGCACCGGACGCGTCCTATCGCTCCATCTCCCTTTCAAATTGTTTAGCCATTGGCGCCCAACGGCTATCTCTGCGCACAGTAATACTACGTGATCGAACGCGCTGTTAGAAAATGATCGGACCCAGGAGACGCAGCGTCAGGTCGAGTCCAGAAAGCTCCTAGAGCCGCTCTGGGCCGACCGAATGCGTCCGATCACACTGGACCGAACCCTAGAGACACAACATCAGGTCGAGTCTAGAGAGCTCCTAGAGCCGCTATGGGCTGACCGGGCGCGTCCGATCACACCGGACCGGATGCTCCCAGCGTCCGATGAATTATTGCGCTGAAAACCCGAGACTTGTTGGTTCACACTTTCCGGTGTGGCGACCGGACGTGTCTGGTCGCTCTCTGCAATCCTGCATCGGGCTATATCACTTTGACCTAACGCTGAACAGTAACTCGTCAGCGTCAGGTCACTCCACTGAGCCAGAGTTCGGTCACTTTCACTTAGTTGCCCACCTCGGGTCCAAATATCGTGCGCGTCCGGTCTAGATTCTAGACGTGTCCGATCACTTCTATCCGACTACCCCAAGACTGGATAAAATACCGGATGCATCCGGTCCCAATTTCAGACATGTTTGGTCACTCTATGACCAGCGCAACTAACTCCTTTTCAACTCTATCTTCTTTACCCTTGCTTCAATGTGTCAACCACCAAGTGTATCACCTTGTGCACATGTGTTAGCATATTTTCACAAATGTTTTCAAGGGTGTTAGCACTCCACTAGATCCTAAATGCATATGCAATGAGTTAGAGCATCTAGTGGCACTTTGATAACCGCATTTCGATATGAGTTAAACCCCTCTTAATAGTACAGCTATCGATCATAAATGTGATCATACTCACTAAGTGTCTCGATCACCAAAACAAAAAAGCTCCTATCAAGTTTCACCTTTGCCTTGAGCTTTTTGTTTTTCTCTTTCTTCTTTTCCAAGTCCAAGCATTTGATCATCACTATGTCATCACCATCATCATGATTTTCACTATTGCTTCATCACTTGGAGTAGTGCTACCTATCTCATAATCACTTTGATAAACTAGGTTAGCACTTAGGGTTTCATCAATTCACCAAAACCAAACTAGAGCTTTCAGTATCCTGTTACGGGTCTTCCATGATGGCATCTCTACCCCGTACTTCGTCCTCACCTCTATCTACTTCTTCGGCCGCATTCAATGCTTCTTGTCTTTTTCGAGAGGCGAATGTATCTTCAGGCTCTCTAGTAAGTCTCCATGACCAGGGAAGTCCTCCCAAGTGCATGTCCTCCCCACCTAAGGAAACACAAAGCAATGAGCAAACAAACCGGTGGCCTTTGTTCATTTAGTAACTTCACCGGTTCAGTCAACTCACCCAGAACTCAGACGGCCCTCCATAAGCATTGCCACAGTAGTATCCGTATCCTAGCTCAGACGGAACAACTCCTTCGCGAGCCTTGATGCCACACTTGCACTTATGGTCCGGCATCTTTGTGCATGGCCATGGCTTAATGGCTGCTTCAAACTCCGCAAATTAATACTCAGAAGGCCAGTGCGATTTGGGTTCATAGTTGTACTCCTCAAAGTCACAAGATGGGAACCCTCTCTGCAAAAAGAAAATGTTCCAACTCAAATGTTATAATGTGCAAAAAAACATAGCACCTCAGAAAATAGATTGATTACATGAGCACTTACATAATCAGGCAATCCACACTGGTAGAAGGGAGTGAAGGCACCACGCTGTCTAGGAGTTGTCAGAATCATTGACAGTCCACAGTGGCAACGAGGAGGATTGGCAAGTCATTTCAATGCTGCGTCAACCTTCTCTCCCTCTGTCATTTTCGGAGGGTTTGGTGGCGGCGCAACCCAACGAACAAACTTAGGATACGTCCAGCTCTTCCATGGGTCATAAGGAAACAACCTAATCAACGGATCAAACATCTCATGGCCATCGATCCACCTAAAGAAGTTGCATCCCTGTAGATATGAATCAAGTCTGGGGGGGCGCTTAAGTTGACACACGTAGAAAGCACGCCCAGCTAACTCCGGATGCCTTGACTGGCTCACAAAGGCCAGTAACCCACAGTCACACAACGGTGTAGACAGTGCTGGTACGAAAGGACCGAAGGCACCATGATCCTTCGGATAGTGCAAGAACTGCTTGTTCTTTGTAAACGCCATTGCACCTGCCCAAATCATCAATGACTACTGTTACATATAAAATCCGAAAAACATTGTTCTACCTATCATCGTGGAAACCATGCATACAAATTAGATCCCTCAAAATCATCTCCATACATGCACAATAAAACCATGCACGTAGTCAGTACAAACATGCAAATCATCTGTATCTCAATAAGCATGGAAACCCATGAACTGAAACCCTAGAAACATCCCTATTGACTACACATCTTTATGCATACACAATCCACCATACCATCCAAACATCTAATGAGTACAAAATCTCTTCTAATAACAAACTACACATGAACCAATCCAACCAAAACAACTGTCCAAACCATTTCGGTGAAACCCTAGAATAGTGCCATATGAAAACAAACCTGAAACACTACAACAGTCCAACAACTCATTAATCATCATAATCTACTAAAAGTGCTTACCCAAACAAAGTTCTAATAAACCCATCAAAAGCCAGCATTGCACATGGCAGTGTAAAACCAGAGCAGTATAGAAACACCAACTATACCAAAAATCAACACAGATTGAGGGAGTCATACCTCATGCGCGAGACCGAAGCAAACCCAAATCCAAATGCAAACTAGATCAATGAGAGATAGAGGATGCAAGGAAGAGAGGAGAGAGAAGGAGAGAAGCCAGCACGAGCTCGAGCTCGGCTGGAGGGAACGAGAGAGGAGAGAGAGAGGAAAAGGAGCCGGGCCGTGGCCTTTGTATCTAGCCCTGTCATGTCGGTGTGGCTAGTGTGACAGAGCAGGCCCCACGGACCGCCACGCTAGCTGATGATGTTGCATCAGTGGGGCTAGCGTGATCAAAAAGGCTACCTTGTGCAATTTCTTTTTTGGAGCGATTATTATTAAAATATTTATTAAAAAGGATTAAAATAGAAAAAAAATCTAGCCGCCTGCACACAGAAAGGCAGATGCCTGGTCACAAAGTAAGAACTGGATGGATGAAACTGAAAAGATGTAGAATTTTTTTCTTGTTCCGATCCGATGGTGCGAGTGCAACGACGAGGCTGCATAAAGCAGGAGAAGGCGATTGGCAACGGCACAATTTTTATTTTTATAAAGACAAAGAAAGGGTAGCCAATTTGACTTTTGTCTGCTGCCACTTCCGCGCAGCCCCCTCCACTATCATCGGAATCTGAATCCATAAAAGCACAAAAACGACACCAGAGATTGATTGCCATCGCTCCTCCCTTCACCTCTGCGCTCCACCTAATTGATTGATTGATTCCACTGCGGCTACCTGCGATGAGTGCCGCCGTGCCGCCGGCGATGGACCCCGCGGCGGCGGGGGAGATGGCGCGGGAGGCCGCCGCGTGGTGCGCGCTGCACGGCCTCGTCGTCGGGGACCGCGCCGACCCGGTGAGCCTGAGCTGCTGCTTCTTTGCTTCCCTAGATAGAAATTTCTAAGTACCGATTCACCTTGCTACTTATCATGAGCGAAATTTTTATGCGCCAACATGGTGGCCTTAGAAAATTGCTGTTCGTCCCTTTCAAAAAAAAAAAAAAGAAAGAAAGAAATTGCTGTTCGATCGGTAGTACTACGAAACATTGTGGTAAGGTTAGATAGAACTGAATGCAATCACCAAACTATTTTCCCGGGTCCAGACCCCTGAAAAAAGCATCTTGATTGAACCCCTGCAGAGATCAGCAACAGTCCCTGGTGTTGGTTTGGTTCATGCTCCATTCTCCCTGCTCCCAGCACATCTTCCAGAGTCATTTTGGAGGCAGGCGTGCGACCTCGCTCCCATTTTTAACGAGCTTGTGGACCGGGTTAGCATGGATGGGAATTTCTTGCAGGATGCTTTGTCCAAGTAAGTTTTACTGCCTCCCCAATATTGATGTCTATTAAAATTATCATTCAGAGCTGTTTGCCGCTTGAATTCATATAAGCTTTGCATTACCAGAGTGCCCTGTATGCTCTCATTGATCAGATTGTTGAAAAGTTTAAATAATCTGTCTAATATTTGAAAAAACAAACTGTTCAGTTTTGAGTAAATAAAATGACCATCCATGTCAGAGATTCAAAATTTGTAACGAACCGTTGGACTGATGAGATTGGTTGATCATGTTATAATTTCAGAACAAGGGAGGTTGATGATTTCACATCTAGGCTCTTAGAAATTCACAGGAAAATGATGGAAATAAATAAGGAAGAGGTAATTTGCTCTGCTTTACTCTCTTCTTTTTTTTGCAAGGAAAATTTACTAACTGAGTTTATTTATGAACCTCGCTATTATTAAGCACAACTTATCTCTAAATTCATGGTGTTAACTTCTTAACCTGAATATTAAATATTAGTACGCATTGCCTCAAAGAACTTTTCTCCGTCATCTTTTTGGGGTTGGGGAGGGTGGTAACGTATTTTGTATGGAAGTATTGAACAGTGATCCAATATTTACCAGAATATTCGCTTAGGGTTGCACCGATCAGATTATATGCTGGATTCAGAAACAAGTTCTCTTCTTCAAATAGAGCTCAACACCATTTCAGCATCATTTCCTGGGCTTGGTTCCTTAGTTAGTGATCTTCACAGGTAACACCCAGCCATTCATTTCTATAATTGGACTTTCTTTCTGTATATGAATGTACTTTCTCTTTCTTTTAGAAGCAGATAAAAGAATTAGAAAATGCTGTCATGATTTAATGAAAACTTAGGATGTAAAAGCTATGTTCTTTTTAAAATTACAGATTTGTCAAACTTGCTAAATTAGACATGGTAGAACAGTAGGTCTGTAATAATGGCCACTTGATATGTTTAATTTTACATTCATATGGAAAATGAATATCATTATTTATCCACAGAGCTATCCATCACAAAGTCTTCATGCATGATTTTCTGAGTAGCCTCTAATATTTATTTACCTTGCTCATTGTTTTTCGCCTTTACTTGTACATAGACTCTCTTGGCTTTGCCTCCTGTTTCCGTTAAGAAAAAGAAAAGAAAGGAAAAATGAATGACAAGATTCAGTCAAGTAGCACATTTTGCAAAACTATTATTTTGCAACCACATTACTGATACCAGTTGGAAATTTATCAATCTAGAAGTAAGGAAAAGCTAGCGATATATTATGTATCCACTGCATGCTTTTCTAGTAGGGCTATAATTATCTGGAGGACGAAGGTATATAGTGCTAAAGAGATTCTATTGACAGCTCCAAGTTCTGTGCGTATTAGGCAGGTCTATGTGTGATTAGCTATAATTAGCACCTGCTATGTATACTTGATTGTATTCCTTGTATACCCAGCCATATTGGCTATATATATGAAGGTCACCCCCCATATTGGGTATGAGGTGTGTCTCTACATGGTATCAGCCGATTAGATCCTATTCTCCCGATCTTTCCCTCCACCTCGCGACTCCTTCCCCCCACGCACGAGATTTCCTCTCGCCCGTCCTCCCTCTCTCCTTTCCCATGGACACCTCGGCCTCCTCCTCGGCCACCAGTGCCGGCACCTTGCCCGCGATTGGCACTCCCACCATGCCTGCCATGAGCGCCGACGCTGCTGCCCCGATCGTGGCTCACAACTACGCCACAGTCAATGTCAAGTCCCACATCCCATTTACGCTAGACCTTCAATCCAACTACTCCAAGTGGGCGTTCTTCTTCAAGTCGCTGTGCGGCAAGTTCGGCCTTCGCTCGCACATCGACGGCTTTGCTCCCCCTCGCCCTGATGATCCTCAGTGGGATGCCGCGGAGTGCTGCGTCCGGGGCTGGATCTCCGGCTCCGTCGACGACTCCGTCCTCGACCTCGCCATGGACGGTGCCGATCCAACCGCCCGTGATCTGTGGGTGGCCATTAAAGGGATCTTCCGCGCCAACCGGGAGCCGCGCGCCATCTTCCTCCCCAACGAATTTCACTCCATGGTGCAAGGTGACAGCACCATATCGGCGTACTGCCAGCGGCTGAAGATCAAGGCCGCTGCTCTTCGCGACGTCGACCATCCTGTCCAGGACTCGCAGCTCGTCCTCGCCCTTCTGCGTGGCCTCAATCCTCGCTTCTCCAACACCGCCGACGACATCGTCAACTCAGTTGTCCTTCCCACATTCGCCAGAGCCCATGACATGCTGGCACTAAAGAGCTCCGTCTCGCCAACGACGAAAAGACGGTCGCCAGCACCGCCCTCCTCGCCATCGCCGGCTCTGGCTGCACCAGTCCGAGCGGGTGCCGTGCTCTCGCTGCCACAGCCAACTCTGGAGGTCCACACAACCCACACGTGACCGGCTACGACAGCAACAAGGGTGGCGGCGGTGGCAACAGCAGCGGCAGGAAGGGCAAGGGCAAGGGCGGCGTGGTGGTGGAATAATGCTCTGCTGCAAGAATAAGAAGCGCGGCGTTAGCGGGCCAATAATACCGACCCATGGGTCCCTGGATTTGCTACAATCCATGGGCGCCACGGGGCCCTCCTTCGGCTCAGCAGGGCGGCTAGCGCCCAGGCGTGCTTGGCGCCCCTCCTCCTCAGGCTCACACGGCCTTCGCGCCTACGCAGCCCCCGACGACATTTGCGCCGCTCCACGTCTCCCAACAGGCTCCCATGTGGAATCAGGATGGTCTTGTCGCTGCACTCAATCAGATGCATCTCCAGGGCCAGCATCCCTGGGTCCTGGATTCCGGCGCCTCCTCCCACATGAGCTCCTTGGATGGTATACTCCTTTCTCGTCATCCTCCTCACTCTTCCATTATCGTTGGCAATGGTCAAACTCTTTCTATTTCATGTCGTGGCAAGTCTGTTCTTCATACACCAGAGTCAAATTTTCATCTAAATAATGTCTTAGTTGTCCCATCTCTAGTCTGCAATCTGCTATTTGTCCGTCAATTTACTAGGGACAACAACTGTTCTATAGAATTTGACGCTCTTGGTTTTTCTATCAAGGATATCCCGACCCGACGCGTGATGCTTCGCTGCAATAGTGTTGGTGATCTTTACACCATCCCTGCCGCGTCTTTCGCTCCACACGCCAGCATTGCCATCTCCACCGACCTCTGGCATCACTGTCTTGGTCATCCCAGCTCCGCCACCATTGACATTCTTCGTCGTAATGCGTCCATCACCTGTAATAAAGTAGAGCAACTGCTATGTCATTCTTGTCAGCTTGGCAAACATGTGCGCCTTCCTTTTTCAGATTCCATTTCATATACTTCCATGCCTTTTGAACTTGTTCACTGTGATGTATGGACATCCCCGGTTGCCAGTGTATCCGGGTATCAATATTCTCTCGTTTTATTTGATGATTTCACTCATTTCTGTTGGACCTTTCCCCTCACTCGCAAATATGAAGTCTCCACACATATTGCAAATTTTTGCAATTATGTCCACACTCAATTCAGCCTTGCCATCAAAGCTGTCCAAGCCGATAACGGCACTGAGTTCGTAAACAATACCCTCCATACTCTCTTTGCTTCCCGTGGTATTCATTTACGCCTCTCGTGTCCATATACCTCTCCACAAAATGGCAAGGCTGAACACCTTCGCACATTGAACATCAGCCGCACGATGCTCCTCCATGCACACATGCCTACTTTCAAGATCTTTGGCCGAGCCCGCCACAGCCCACATACCTTCCGAATAGGCCCATGATTCTCTGAGCGCCTCAAATACATACCTTCCGAATAAAGGCCCATGCTCTGCTGTTCGCCACAGCATTCCATATACTCTCCACAACAAACCTCCCGAGTACTCCCACTTACGTGTCTTTGGGTGTCTCTGTTATCCGAACTTGACCGCCATGGCTCGCCACAAACTCTCCCCTCGCTCCACAGCTTGTGTTTTTCTCGGCTATCTCTCTTCCCACAAGGGGTACCGCTGCCTCGACATGGCCACTAAGCGCGTCATCATCTCTCGCCATGTGGTCTTCGATGAGACTTGTTTTCCCTTTGGGCTTTACCCCTCCAGGTCCTCGCCATGTGACCTGGATTTTTTCTTGCAGGTACTACAGTGCCGGTGCGTCCTGCATCTTTGCCCTCTGTTGTTGGGCAGTCACACCACAGTTTCATTGAGGAGCTGACCGACGACCCCACGATCTTGTTTCACGGCCCAGATCGCTTTTCTTTGCTCCACCACAAAGAGCCGATCCACCACCGCTGCTGCTCCTCCAGCTGCCCGCCTCAAGCTCAACTCTGTTCATGCTTTGCTCCACCACTCAGACATCCGGCTTGTCTCATACCGGCGTCCCGTCATGCATGCGCATGACGGGTCCTCTACAAAGACCAGATCGGCTCCTCGCACTGCTCAAGCAGCCTCCTCACAGCTCTCGCTCTGTCTGACAAGAAGCTCTCGCTCTGTCTGACAAAGAGCCACAGTGTGCCCGCAGCTCCGCTTAGCACCTCCCGTCAGACAAAGAGAACGACGCATCACGCGGACCCAGTCCGGGGCCATACCGGTTATGTGGTATGTGGGGCTCTTTGCGACAACCACTCCGTCTCCACTTCCCGCTAACTACCGTAGCGGTTTGGCTGATCCAAACTGGCGTGAGGCCATGGCTGAGGAGTACAAGGCGCTCATCGACAACGGGACATGGCGCCTCATGCCCCGGCCACCCGGCGCCAACGTGGTCATAGGCAAGTGGATATTCAAGCACAAGTACCACTCCGACGGTACCCTCGCTCGCCACAAGGCTCGCTGGGTGGTTCGTGGCTTCTCCCAGCGCCACGGCATCGACTACAACGAGACATTCAGCCCGGTGGTCAAACCAGCAACCATCCGAGCTGTCCTCAGCATTGCTGCCTCACGCGCCTGGACTATTCATCAGCTAGACATCAAGAATGCTTTTCTCCATGGACATCTGGAGGAGACCGTCTACTGCCAGCAGCCCCCAGGCTTCGTCGACCCTGTTTTTCCTGATCATGTGTCTGTTGCAGCACTCCCTCTACGGCCTGAAGCAGGCTCCCCGAGCCTGGTACCAGCGTTTTGCGACATACATCGGCCAGCTTGGCTTTGTCGCCTCGACTTCCGACACCTCCCTATTTGTCTACAAAGACGGGACCAATATCGCCTACCTGCTTCTGTATGTCGACGACATCGTCCTTACTGCGTCCTCGACGACATTTCTACAGCAGATCATTGGGCGCCTCCACTCTGAGTTTGCCATGACTGACCTGGGCACACTCCATCACTTCCTCGGCATCTCCGTCACTCGCTCCACCGACGGCTTGTTCTTATCACAGCGACAGTACGCTGTTGAGCTCCTTCAACGCGCCGGAATGGCTGAGTGTCACTCTACGACGACACCTATTGACACTCATGCCAAGCTATCCGCCACCGCCGGTGCCCCTGTTGCTAATCCGTCCACGTACCGGAGCCTTGCTGGCGCACTCCAGTACCTCACGCTGACTCATCCTGACTTGGCATACGCCGTCCAACAGGTGTCTCTTCATGCATGATCCCCGCGAGCCGCACCTCTCGATGATCAAGCGGATTCTACGCTACCTGAAGGGCACTCTCTCCTCCGGCCTCCACATCGGTGTCGGCCCTGTTCAGTCACTGGTCGCCTACTCCGATGCCGACTGGGCTGGCTGCCCAGATTCTCGGCGCTCCACCTCCGACTATTGTGTCTACCTTGGCGACAATCTGATTTCTTGGTCCTCCAAGCGTCAGACCACGGTCTCCCGCTCCAGTGCAGAAGCAGAGTACTATGTTGTTGCTCACTTGGTGGCCGAGTGTTGCTGGCTGCGCCAGCTCCTGCAGGAGCTCCATGTCTCCATTGCTTCGGCGACAGTTGTCTACTGCGACAATGTTAGCACTGTCTACATGACAACCAACCCCGTTCATCATCGTCACATGAAGCACATTGAGATTGATATTCACTTCGTCCGTGAGAAGGTCGCCTTGGGACAAGTTCGGGTTCTTCATGTGCCGTCCTCTCACCAGTTCGTAAACATCATGACCAAGGGCCTTCCTGTACAGCTATTTATTGAATTCAGGTCCAGTCTATGCGTCCGGGATCCTCCCGCTTAGACTACGGGCGGGTATTAGGCAGGTCTATGTGTGATTAGCTATAATTAACACCTGCTATGTATACTTGATTGTATTCCTTGTATACCCAGCCATATTGGCTATATATATGAAGGTCACCCCCCCATATTGGGTGTGAGGTGTGTCTCTACAGTGCGTACAATTTATTTCTATTTCTTACCAATGAATCTACCTGGACGTTTCTCTTTTTTTGCGAGTGGGGTTTCTTATTTGTTCAATATGTCGGCATTATTATTATTGCATCTTCAACATGATGTAGATACAAAATTGCTCTGCAGGACCTTAATTAAACAGCATGGGACTTTATTAGGTCTGGAGCACAAGAGGGTTCCTGCAAATGCGGCTAACACTCAATTTGCTGCAGCATTGGCCCAAGCATGGGCTGAGTTTAATATTGACAGGTTTGGTATGCTTTGTTTGAAGATATATGTTTCTTATGCATTACACTGCTATTTAATGAATATTAATTGTTATCTTTTCCATTATTTTCTCAGTGCTGTAATTATGATGATTGTTCAGCCAGAAGAGAGAAATATGTATGATCAATACTGGCTTTCAACACATTTGCAAGACTCATATCCTTTTATGTTCTGCCTTCATGTTTTCCTAATGATCAAATCTGTAATTCCTTGTGTTGCCTTCATGCTTAGTGATTAACTGTTATTTGGTTTGACTTTTATCTGTTGTCTTTTTTAACCCATGTAACTGCTATACCTTTTTTTAGTTTCCCATCCTTGAGTTAGTCTTGTCATTGCCTTTCATACCTATAAGTTTCTTCCAAGTTTTGGTGCTAAGATTGTTTATTATTTTGGGATCAATTTCAAGTGTTTGTTAACTATTTGTTCCTGAGCAATATGAAAAATCATAAGATCAAACTTGTGTTCCCTTGACAGTTTATTACACATGGCATAACAACTATAAGGAAAACCTTATCGCAGGTGGAAGCTGAAGGCCAAGTTCTCCCAGATGGAACTCTTCTTGTGTATGAATCCTGATTGATTACTGATTTATGCTTAGCATTTTAGCATCATCTTAACCTTTCAGTGTGCTGGGTTTATGCTTAGCATTTGAGAAGCATCTTAATCTTTCACTATGCTTATTAATATTTATTTTTAAATGCAGAGGTGGCCAGAAAGTTGCTGTTGTGTACTATAGAGCTGGCTATACACCAAATGATTATCCCTCAGAAGCAGTATGAATACACCTTTTGCCTTTTGTTAAGAGTCTTTTGTGTTTCCAGTTATGAAAACTAACTGCCCAAAAATAAAATTCTTTCAGACTTTTCAGTCTTATCCTTAATATATTTGGGTTTCTGTATTTCCCTGTTACACTTGAACTTCATTTTCTGTCTTGCAAATAAAGTCAAAATACTTTGATTTGTATTGTTAGGTATATATCAGGCCCATCCATTCTAGGCCCATATTGGAGACATAGTTGATAGATATGTACATTAGGAAAGTGTATATTAGGCAAGTCTATATTTAGTATGATTAGCACCTGCCATGTATTGCATGTAACCTGCCATGTATTGGCTATATATATCAAGGTCACCCCCCCACGTTGGGTGTGTGGTGTTTTCCATTCAATCTCTATTATTCTACAATCTCTGTTATTCTACATGGTATCAGAGACCGAGATCAATTAGATCCCGGACCTTCTGCTTCCGCCTCCTTCCTCCCCACCTCTCTCCTGGGCGCTCCTCCTCCCTGTGGCGAGATGTCTCCCAACGCCGATGCCTCGGCCGCAGCCGCTGCTGCACCATCAACGCCGCAGGCCGTCCGTTCAATCCACCCCTACACACGCCGTGAACGTGAAGACTCACATTCCGGTGACCACGAGAGATGAAGAATCCCAACTTCACCAAGTGGGCTTCGTTCTTCAAGGCCTTGTGTGGGAAATTCAGCCTTCGCCCCCACATCGACGGGCCAGCTCCTCCGGCTGATGATCCATCGTGGGACATTGCCGAGTGCACTGTCCATCGTGGATCCTCAACACCGTCGACGACTCGGTTCTTGATCTTGCCATCACCGACGAGAACCAGTCCGCCCGCGAGTTGTGGGTGGCGATTGAGGGCCTCTTCCGCTCCAACCAAGGCGCCCGGGCCGTCTTCACGCTTGAGGAGTTTCACTCCTTGAAACAGGTGACTCGACGATTGACGAATATCGCCAGCAGCCTCAAGATCAAGGCCGCCGCTCTTCGGGACGTCGGCCACACCATCGAGGACTCCCAACTCGTCCTCAGCCTCCTACGCGGCCTCAACCCGCGCTACACTGCCACTGCCGACGACATCGCCAACTCCCCCGAGCTGCCTTCCTTCTCCAGGGCGCGAGAAATGCTCTCCCTCAAAGAGCTGCGCCTCGCCAACGACGAGAAGACCACGGCTGCATCTGCCATGGTGGCCGCCTCTGGCTCCACCTGCACTTCTCCAGGGTGCCGCCCCTCCTCCTCTGTGGCCACTGGCGCTGCTCCCAAGGGCTCTGGGGGCGGCAAGAAAGGCAAGGGCGGCAAGAAACAGGGCGGCTGGCGCGGCCAAGGCAACGGCGCTGGCTGGCAGCAGGGCAGCGGCAGTGGACAGCAAGGGGGCAACCGCCCCATGGGACCCTGGTTCTGCTACAACCCATGGGCCTTCCAGGGCGGCGTTCCTCCTCCAGGCAGCAGCTGGCAGTAGGGCAACAGCCCCGGCGGCTGGCCCCCTCAGGGTGACCAGGGCGGGCGCGGCCAGGGCATCATGGGTGCCAGTCCGCAGGCCCACACCGTCTTCGCTCCCCCTCCGCCAGCTCCATCCACTCCACTGTGGGATCAGGCCGGCCTCATCGCCGCCTTGAACCAGATGGCGCTCGTAACTCCGGTGGGTCATGGACTTGGCGCCACCTCCCACATGCACAACTCGGATGGTATACTCCTCTCCGTCAACCCTCTTCTATCCCATCCATCATCATTGGCGGCAGTCATCATCTTCCTCAGTATCTTGCTCCGGCACTCCACATTACCGAGCCATGCATCTCCTTTTTAAACCAAGAATGTTCTAGTTGCCCCCTCTCTAGTGCGCAACTTACTTTCAGTTCGCCAATTCACTCGTGACAACAATTGCACTATCGAATTTGACGCATTTGGTTTTTCTGTTAAGGACCTGCAGACTAGACGCGTGATACTTCGCTCCAATAGCTCCGACGGCCTCTACACCGTCCCTGCCACGCCACAAGCCAACCTCGCCACCTCCACCGACCTATGGCATCATCGTCTTGGTCATCCAGGAGCTGCTGCCCTACATTTGCTTAGACAAAATAATTCCATTTCCTGTAATAAATCAGCTCATACTCTATGTCACTCATGTCAACTTGGCAAGCATGTGCGGCTGCCTTTTGGCAATTCCAGTTCAGTTTCCTCTTTACCTTTTGAGCTTATACACTGTGATGTTTGGACATCCCCGGTCGCTAGTATTTCTGGTGCACAGTACTACCTTGTCATCCTCGATGACTTCACCCATTTTTGCTAGACCTTTCCCCTAGTCCACAAGTCCGAGGTAGCTACTCACATCACTCAGTTCTGCGCCTTCGTCCACACACAGTTCAGCCTTCCTGTCAAGGCTGTTCAGGCCGACAATGGCACTGAATTCGTTAACAATGCCCTCGCCACCTTCTTCACCTCTAACGGCATTCACTTACGCCTCTCCTGCCCTTACACCTCCCCTCAAAACGGCAAGGCTGAACGTATCATCCGTTCTCTGAACAACATATGTCGCACGCTGCTCATCCACGCCCACATGCCACCCAAATATTGGGCAGAGGCGCTAGCTACAGCCACATATCTCCTCAACAGGCGCCCCTGCTCAGCCATTCACCATAGAGTTCCCTATGAGCAACTCTTCAAGCAATCCCCAGACTACACTATTCTTCGAGTCTTCGGTTGCCTCTGCTACCTCAACCTCACCGCCACTTCCAAACACAAGCTGGCCCCTCGCTCCACAGCCTGTGTCTTTCTCGGATACCCCTCCTCTCACAAGGGTTATCAGTGTCTCGACCTCACAACTAGACAGATTATCATCTCCCGTCATGTTGTCTTCGACGAGACTCACTTTCCGTTCAGCACTGACCCCACTAGTGAGCCCCCAAGCTCTCTGGATTTTCTTCTTCCAGGTCCTGCCGCGCCGGTGCACCACACTGCCACCATGGTGCCCCCTGCGGTCGCTCCGTCGCCAGTCGCTGCTGAGCAGCCGCGACGCCGAGCTCAACTGGAGGAGCTCGCTGAGGACCCCGCCATCCTACAGATTGGTCCGGTCCTTCCTCCTGGCACGGCTGCTCCTGCTCCTGCTCCGACCGGTCCACCTCTACGGGTCTACATTCGGCGGCGTGCTGGTGCTCCCACACCGGCTGCTGAGCCGGCTCTTGCACCACTATCTGCACTAGTCGTGGAGGTGCCCCGCCGGCGCCCGCTGCTCCAGAACAGTCGGCTCCTGCTCCAGTTGTGGCGGCCTCTCTGCCACCTCCTACCTCGAGCCGACCTGTGACGCGCCTCCAGACAGGCTCGCCTGGCTCGCTTGATCGTTCTGGCTTCCCATCGTGCACGCTCACGCCGCCACCGCCTCCACCGCCTCACCCATTCCCGCATGACTACGAGAGGGGCCTTTGCCGACCCCGGTGGCGCGCGGCCATGGTGAGGAGTACAAGGCTCTCGTCGACAACGACATCGTGGTGACTTCGTTTCCCGGCCCCAGTGCCAACGTGGTGACGCGAGCAAGTGGATCTTTCGGCACAAGTTCCACTCCGATGGCACCTGGCTCGTCACAAGGCTCGCTGGGTTGTTCGCGGCTTCCACCCAGTGCCACGGCATCGACTACGACGAGACGTTCAGCCCCGTCGTCAAGCTTCTCGCCACCATTCGGTCGTCCTCGGCGCCGCCGCTTCGCCGATGGCCCATCCACCACCGGACGTGAAGAATGCCTTTCTTCACGGTCACCGCATGAGACGGTCTCATCGTCGGCCAGCCCCGGCTTCGTCGACCGGCGGCGTCCCCGGCGCCGTCTGTCTTCTTCGGCGCTCCCTCTCGGCCTCAAGCGGGCCCAGCGAAGCGTGGCACCGGTAACCGCCCACGTCGTTCGACAGCTCGGCTTCGTCGCTTCTGCCACCGACACCTCCCTCTTCGTCTACACTGAGGGCGGCGCCAAAGTGCCTACGTCTTTTCTTGCCACGTCGTCGACGACATCGTCCTCACGGCTTCCTCGATGCTGCTCTCCGCCGCCGCATCATCGGTCGCCTTTCACTCGAGTTCGCCATGAGCGGACCTTGGGAGCTCCATCATTTCTGGATCTCGTCCACGCTCCTCCAACGGGCTCTTCCTCAGCCAAAGGCAGTACACGGTGGATCTTCTTCAGAAGGCGGGCATGGCCGAATGTCACTTGACATCGACGCCTGTCGACTCTCGTGCCAAGCTCTCTGCCACGGAGGGCGCTCCCGTCGCCGACCCCGCCACGTACCGAAGTCTCGCCGGCTCACTTCAGTACTTGACGCTCACTCGCCCCGACCTGGCGTACGCTGTGCAGCAGGTGTGCCTCTTCATGCATGATCCGCGCGAAGCTCACCTTGCGCTGATCAAGCGCATACTTCGGTATGTGAAGGGCACACTGTCGGCTGGCCTCCACATCGGTACTGGGCCTATCGACAAGTTGATTGCCTACTCCGACGCTGACTGGGCAGGGTGCCCCGACTCCCGCCGCTCCACTTCAGGCTTCTGCGTCTTCCTCGGCGACAGCTTGGTGTCCTGGTCGTCCAAACGGCAAACCACGGGTGTCCCGGTCTAGTGCGGAGGCCGAGTACCGGGCTGTTGCTCATTTGGTCGCAGAGTGTTGTTGGCTTCGACAGCTTCTTCAGGAACTTCACGTTCCATTGAAGGTCGCCACAGTTGTCTACTGTGACAACGTCAGCGCTGTCTATATGACAGCCAACCCGGTCCACCACCGCCGTACCAAGCACATAGAGATCGACATCCATTTCGTCCATGAGAAGGTGGCTCTCGGCGAGGTTCGCGTTCTCCATGTGCCGTCCAAGTATCAGTTCGCTGATATCATGACAAAGGGGCTGCCGATTCAGCTATTTGAGGATTTTTGGTCCAGTCTGTGTATCCGGAATCCTGACGCTTCGACTGAGGGCGGCTGATAGATATGTACATTAGGAAAGTGTATATTAGGCAAGTCTATATTTAGTATGATTAGCACCTGCCATGTATTGCATGTAACCTGCCATGTATTGGCTATATATATCAAAGTCACCCCCCCCCCCACGTTGGGTGTGTGGTGTTTTCCATTCAATCTCTGTTATTCTACAATCTCTGTTATTCTACAGTAGTGACATACTGGTTGCTTTTGTTGATGATAATATGCTTAAATTGCCATTATGAGCTTCATTTATGTTCTAGGAATGGAGTGCAAGACTTATGATGGAACAATCATCTGCTGTAAAGTGTCCTTCAATATCGTATCATTTAGTGGGAACCAAAAAGATTCAACAAGAACTAGCAAAGCCTAGTGTGCTTGAAAGGTGATCATTTTTTTTAGTGACAAAGCGTAGTACTTCTTGAACATTTGTGTCGTGCATATTTTGTTCCAGCATTTCTCAATTTCTAACATATAATTATTGGGTCATTATTAGTCTTTGGTGTAATATTTAAAACTTCACCTTTTTCTTACTGTCATTTGTTCTGTCCATATAGGTTCCTTGAGAGTAAGGAGGAAATTGACAAGGTTCGCAAATGTTTTGCTGGGCTATGGAGTTTGGATGATGAAGAGATTATAAAAACTGCAGTGGAAAAACCTGAGTTGTTCGTGTTGAAGCCTCAACGTGAAGGCGGAGGTTCGTATTTCCATTGACATATGCATATCATTGCTTAGTGTTTCTTGAATATGCAATTTGTGGACAGGAAACAACATCTACGGTCTTGATTTGAGGGAAACACTTGTCAGACTCCAGAAGGAAGGAGGGGATGCACTTGCTGCCTACATACTGATGCAAAGAATCTTTCCAAAAGCTTCTCTTGCTTATCTGGTTCGTGGTGGTGTTTGCCACGAGGGTCTTGCAATTTCTGAGCTTGGAATATATGGAGCTTATCTGCGGTATAGTAACTTCGGAAATAAACACAATAGTCAATAGTGCTTTGCATATGGTGCTGGTTTTTTCTGATGAAGAGTACTACACTAATCAATTTCTGATCAGGTACAAAGATAAAGTGGTCATCAATGAACAATGTGGTTACTTGATGCGAACGAAAGTTTCTTCATCAGATGAAGGTGGAGTAGCTGCAGGGTTTGCTGTTTTGGATAGCTTATACCTGACTGGCAAGGTGATGTTCAATGGATCGACCTTTTTTACCCATTATTTTTGTTTTGCTGGATAAACAATTTCTAAACAATATATCTTGTTTTACATGTTTAGACAATTTTAAGCAGTCAAAAAAAATATTCACTCTTATTAGTACTGTTTGAAAACCCTGGATGATTTTTTTCCCGTGTGGCCAGGTCAAAACAAATGAGATTTCAGAAAGGCTGTTTCACCCAAATTACATTCTGTGTTTTGTTAACCAGATGCTTAATATGTATTTTACTCGAACTGTCTTCCTGACATGTAATCAGCAAAAGAGTTTTCCTGTTAGGAATTAGATCTGAAATGCTGGAATCCTCTACTTGGTTTACCTTTGGCACAACTTAAGTGTCTCAAGTTCACCTGCAAATGTCTACTTTGCCCTTTTCATTATCCTGTTATCAATGGGAAAAAGGTCATGCTCATTTGCTTGCTTCGTGCAGTGAGATGAGATAACAAAAGGAGCGTCAGCTACAGCTTTCAGTGGCGACATACACCCACAATGGATCATCATGTTCTTCATTTAGATCAACAGAGAATAACTGAATAAGCTGCTGCAGACTAGTGCCATTTCTGTGACACCACGTCACATTGTTTGATGAATTCCTTCTGTCTGTCCCTGCCAAGGAAGAGAGTAGACATATTATTATGTGTAGATTAAATGTGCATGAAATTCATGGAAATAATGAAGGATAAACCACGTGCCCATAGCTGTGAGATATGTCGGCGGTGCCGTTTCTTGTTCCTGATCACCTTGACAGCAACGGGAAATCCTGTGTTTCTGTTGAGGACACGTGGTGTGCACCATCAGTGTGAATTTAACCATTGTTAAAGGCAGCACAAGAGCATTGAGTTGGAAGACAGCATAGCGGAAGAAATCTGCAGCTCATTCCTTCCGGTACTCTATGCCAGAGCAGGGAGAGAGATCCTAATATAAACTTTACTAAAGATTGCAAACTCGGAACGAGCTGTAGCTCGATTCCCACTGGGTTTTTCCCCAATTTCTATAGCCTCATACGTGGATGCGCTACAATGGTTAGGGTGACGTGTCCGTCATGTACGAAGCCTGGATGACTTCAGATACCTCTCAGCCACACCTAACCTTCCATATGTTCGGCCGTTTGGCCCTATGGCCGCGGTCACCGCGCCCTTGCCCTAGTGCCGCTATGTTCGGCTGCGCTGTGCGTCGGCTGTGCCGCGCAAGGGGCGGCCATAGCTATTCCGCACGTCAGTGTTGTCCAGCCCTTGCTGGCTGCTGCCTGGCCGACGCCGGCGCTGCTGCCATGTTGCCCCAGAGCTGCCCCTCCCTGTCCGTGCCGTTGCAACCGTCGCCGTGCCGCTGCGCTGCGTGCAGGGCCGGGCCAGTGCCTTGGCGGCCGCCGTTGGTTGACGTGGCGCTCGCTCCGCCCCTCGTTCTACCTACCGCGCCCGTGTGTGCCTTGGAGCCCTGCTGCCGCGTCGCAATGGTGGCCTACCATAGAAGCAATGAGATGTTTCCTGCCGCGCTTTGCTTTGACTCGCTAGCCTCTGTGGGTGAGCCCCGCTCGCGTCCGGTCGCTTCGGTTCAAATGCGTCACGCATGAGAGTGGCTTAGGAAGTCAATTAGGCACTCCATCTTCCTCATCCCCGACCAAGCGCTATCGACAGCCAATTTGGCGTTTTCTCGCCGCCGGCCATGAAAGTCGCCGTAGCAGATGGGCTGGGGGTAAGTCCCAATACAGGGGGAGAAAGCTCCAATTGGTGTTGTCTCTGGACTCGCCTTGACTCCCTTCACCCAATGCTCGCATTACCTTGGCCTGGCAGCCCATCGACGGCGCGGTGACGCGATGGTGTCACACTCGGAGCGCCGCCGACCTCACTGCACGCACGTGGTCAGTTCTCTTCGGCACTCCTCTGCCCCAACCGCCGTCGCAGCGGGCACCACGGTGAGCCACTGATACTCATCCGCCACCCCTACTCTACTGGACTCGCGTAGTTTAGTCGGAACAGTCACGCCGCCGCACGGTTTTGCCCGTTGTCGAGACCCGGCTTTGGTAGTGCACCGTTAAGCTCCCAACCACCACCCGCCCTTGCGTGTTTGGCCATAGAGCCCAGTCGGCCTTCTGTCTCATCGGAGTGCCGCTAGGTTAACCGGCGTAACCGCTGTGGGCCGTCGGTGGCCTACGCCGCCGTGCGCATGCGCCAGGGGGCGAGCTGTTGTAAAGACGAGTTTTAGAGGGTGTTAGATGTAAAGAGTGTCTCTTCTGCAATAGTGCGCATGGGGCCGCGTAATAAATGAATAGATCAAGGTCTTTTATGCAAAATAGCCACGAGCGCATGGGATCCCGTCATGGGCCAGCTTGCTGCGCGCGCGCCGCGTTCCGCGTGGGCCAAGTCGGGCCACTGGGCCGAATCGTTTGGCCACCGACCCTTTTCATTTTCTCGAGCATTTTCTAATTTAGTTCTAAGAAAAACTTATAAATTCAATATCAATTTGTGTAGCTGACCAAAAATTGTGAAACTAATTTTGCTAGTTTCCTAGAGTCATGACCTATCTAATAATGTATTTTGTTCACTTAGTTTCATAGAATTTTCTAGAGTAGACTAATTAATTTGAAGCACTTAAAATGGGTAAAACAAGAACTTGTAGGAATTATTGTGATGAATTGGTAGAAGTACTAGCCCTGAAATTTTTACAATAGATTCCTAACAATATTAGGTGCTCACTGTAATTTTTGTAGTCCCATAGGAATTAGTTTGTTAAGGTAACTAAATGAGCCCAAGTCCAAAAATATATAGTTAATCAATCAAATGTCAAAAATAATTGAGGATTTGTAGAACGAAAACATTTTCCGGAACAAGCATTACTTGGCGACGTGGATACGTAGACTAGTACATTAGTCATTAAGCTAGCTCGTTAGCTCGCGGAGTATAATCATATTATAGAGTTGCTGTTATCATTGATTAATTACGTCTCTGCGTTGCATCCACGTATACCATAATAGGAACAATGATGGATCGTGGAGTTGACCGAGGTAGCAGAAAAGATTGTGCCTTGATGATCGTGCCAGCATGATGGAATGCTAACTTTTTGTTATATCTTACCCAAGCAAGCCCCAGTACATAACCCATATTATTCTGCACTTTATTTTATGCTTGTGCATTAAGTTTAAGGAGTTGAATGAAACCCACTTGTATATATATATATATATATATGAGTTTTACTAGTATGACAGGATCGTGTATATTGCTATGCTACAGGACTTCGGTAGAAGTCGAGTGATTGCATGTCACTCGCGAGAGATAGGAAAGATATTATTGTTGTTATTATATTACTATCACATAGAAAATATATGAATGATAATTGGAGACCGGGCGAAATGGTACTTGGATCTGGACTTGGTTTGGCATTCGAGTGAGGCTCGGATTATGCTTGTTCCGTCTGTGTCGGTTAAGGACCGTCCGTTGAATTTGATTCTAGTCAGGTCACAGACTTATTATCCTGAACACATGTTTATGGGAGCAGGGAAGGCTCGTTGCTCTCTTGTCGTGGGTTCCGGCTCTTTCCGGACCGACTGATTGGAGGCAGGGATGGTGGAGGTCTAAGCACCACACTGAGTCTGGGACTCAGGTATGAGGGCTTGAAGTCTAAGTTTGGACGGAGACCTGGACCCCTTGACAGGAGAGTGGTGGGTTGGTCCTGCTTGTGCCTGGGGTACAAGCGGGGCGTGTGTTTTGGGGTATCTAGCTGGGCACATTGATTCACGAATCGCCGGGTAATCCGGTATAACTTTTCTATAGTCTAGCACCGTAGTAAGAACTGAAATATAAAAGATGGTAAAATAGTTCTGATTGCTTTTCACCTGCTTGAAAGTAGCACAGGTGCTTACATGGAATGGTTAGTTAATGAACTAATGATGACTGCTAATGAAATTGAATATAAGTATGCACGCTTAGTAATGCTTCTTGCAGATACAATAAACCCATAAGCCAGATAGCCTTGCATATTCTTGGAGTCTTTTCTTTCCTCCTGACGGGTAAGTCTTGCGGAGTTCAATTGAGTACTCAGGGTTTGTTCTACCCTGTTGCAGGTGACAGGAACATGTGGAGCTGACATTTATGTGTGGAAACCTCCTGGTGGGCTCATCGAGGATTTTCTTAACGTTGCGGACATAGAGTTTATTTGAAACTTCCACCCAAAATGTTTTACAATGGAAAAATTTATAACCTATTATGATGTATATAACGGATCATCATGTTAATGTTTGACTTGTTATTAAATGATTTTATTTTCGCTGAAACTCTGATAACATGGTTATATTCTGCTGTTATAAATAATAAATATTATACTCTGATGTTGCAGGAAAAGTGATATAAGAAACGGCTAAAATGTTGTAAGCTTTATTCTCCCATTTATGATCCTGTTGAAAAATGTGGATTTTCGGGTTCTCTCATGGGGTGTGCTCGATAGAACTGTCTGGTGTAGCTCACCTTCGGGGGTGCTTAGTGTCTAGTGAAAGACAAGCGCCTCTGTAAGTGTGTTATTTTGGACGGTTCTACCACACCTGGATGACTTCAGATATCTCTCAGCCACACCTAACCTTTTCGTATAGATGTAAAGTCTAGCTTACGCACTAGTGTGTGTGAGTGAGTGTGTGTACGTGAATTCAGATACTACAGCTTGTACTTGAAGAGTTGAGGCATAAGAAAAATTGCAAACTCATCCCCACCGAACCTGAGCATGCCACCTGGCATTGGCCTATTGGGTATGTGGCCCTGCTGTCGCTTTTTAAGGGCAAGGGCAATGTTTGAGGCTCAATGAGTGTTGTCACCGGCTGAATTTGATGTGAAAGGAAATTTCTTATTTGACGCTAGAAAACATTTCCTTCCATATTTGACACCAAAACGTAGCCCTATCTAACACTCATTTCATCTTTGTTCCCTAATTGACACTACCGCCGGTGACGATAATGGCGTTAAGTCTAAGGCGAAAAGATCATCTTGTTTCTCCTGTGTGAGATTCACACAGAAGATAAGCAACTAAAATACCGAAAAAACATCTACAAATAAATAAACGAGACAAAAAAATATACAGCAGTAGGATGACGGTATGCCTGAAAAAACCATGGTCTTTTTGTCTTGGACCTAGAGCCTGATTAGTTAATAGCCAAATTTTGATTTCCAAATCTTAGGCATGCCAAAATTTTGGTAGCCATTTGGTTTGTTATCAATTGCCAACACCTCATAATTAGTATGCCAAATCTATGGCAAAAAAGTTTGTCCTAATTTTGACAACTTTTTCTTGTCAAATTTTTGACATGACAACTTTTAATAAGCAACCAAACAGACCCTTAACGCCTTTGCATCCTAAAAGTGACTAAAATGTCACTTGGAACCAAGAGATAAAATGGGTGACAGAGATTTAAAACTTCAATATTAAATAGGGAATTTTCTCTTGACGTGAAGTTTCACTACTGCGCCATATAAGGACTGACATCACGTAACTTTTATAATTAAGCAATTGCAATCATATTTTAAATTTTATATTATAACTAGGTAGCGTGCCCGTGCGTTGCTACGAGATAGCTAATATTTTATACTAAAAACACACGGATCATACGATAAGATAACAATACTATAAAAATTAAATATCAATGTTAAAGTGACATTTAATAAAAAAACAAAGTGTGTGAAATTAACACAAATCACGAAAGAGCGCGGCGTCGTAGGCTCACAAACTCTACTTTATAGATCTTTTCCGTGATGTGGCTAAGATAATATTTTATATTGGTTGAAAGAAATCTCCGATATCCATTTCTTTCGTGCGCTAATAATTATCAATATTGAATATCCGGACTCAGATACGGATAGATCTAAACTCTCTAAACGAATTTGGTCTCGGATATGGTCGAAAAATATCCGTACCGTTTTTACCCCTACTCATAACAATGCCTAAATAAATGGATTACAAATTACATCCACCAAGGTTCATATGCAATAGACAAATTACATCCGCAAGGTCTATAGCTCCAACAAGTTAAAAAATAATAATAAAAAATCCAGAATTGAAAATTAAATTGTCTTAAGAACTAAAACAAACTAAAGCAGTTTTGTTGAGCCGCCAGTGGTCGTGCTTATCTGAAATTAAACTACATGCTGATAAACAGTATTGGACGAAATACTCTATTTAAATGGCCACAGGATACACCGTATGTTTGAACAAACTGTATAAGTTTGATAGGTACTGCTTCAAGGCCGTTTCAAAATGGTAATATGTCAAAAAAGTTAACCTTCTAAACTAACAAATATGCATTAAGGTAGCGTGCCCGTGCATTGCTATGGGACAGCTAAATTTTTATACTAAAAATATATGGATCGCACGATAAGATAACAATACTATAAAATTAAATACTGACATTAAAGTGATATTTAATCTAAAAGGCAAAGTTCATGAAATTAACACAATCACGGAGCGCGGCGTCGCAAGCTCACAAACTCTACTGTATAGACTTTTCCGTAATGTGACTAAGATAATGTTTTATATCGGCAGAAAGAAATCTGCGATATCTATTTCTTTCGTACGCCAATAAATCTACGAATAAGTTCTGCCGCATCTTCATACCATCCTGTACACAAGTTCGAGTATATATAAAAATATTAATTCCTGTCACATGGGTAATACTGCGTGTCTTAAAAAATCTCTTATAATACCTTAAGTATGTTATACTCACCGTATAAATATGTGTGGTTTTAGGACTATTTCACGCAGACATATACTGAGGTATCCACTTGAGTGTCTATGACAAGATTCACCATCAGTAATATATAGAAATGGTTAAATCATAGGTATTATTATTGCAAGCGATGGATAAAAGTAAATTAGATGTTATCATAATTGTACATTTGATTCTTCCTAGTTTTTTAAGATGATGATGTCCAATGTAAACTTCAAAATATATCATTTTCATGTATTCTGTCTGGGTACAAGCTAATTCACTATAAAATAATAATTGAAATTTTCTCTTTTAATTTAAAATTATAAGATATTTTGGTTTTTCTAGATATATTGTTTTAATTATGTATATGTAAGCATATAAAAAAAATATGTATCTAGAAAAGTCAAAGCGTCATATAAGTTGGAATTGAGAAATTATTTTTTTGTAGATTCATTGGTCCACTCTGAATTAGTTAGAAACACCATCCAGTTCTAGCCAATCTCTAAATGTCTAAAGTTTTCAACACCATGTCAGCATTATTCCATGCTCGATTTCAACAAGCTCTGCTTCTATACCATCCTCTCCAAACTATACAACCTCCCCGTTGCATGATCCTAGGACCTCACTGCTCCGTTCAAGTAGTTTGGGCACAAAAAAACCATCTGTTCATCATTCAGCCTTGGGAGTAGCATGTAATTCTGAAATCATGACACATATCAGATTCTTGGGACATGTCTACACGAGAACCAAGGCATGAAGGGATGTGATCGGTAAAGAATGGAGATAGAATGTATGTGGTTGGATAACAAATTGTTCTGTAGAAACTATCTATGAGGAACATGGTTTCTATATGTAGTGTCTATGAAAATTAATAGGTATAGCATTGTGACTGCCCTAATACATTATAGGAATACCAGAATAACTATTTTTTTCACAGGTAGAAGTACAAGATTGAGAAGCAAATTGTCAAGCTTGTTTGGCTAATCTATGAGCATCTTGTTTAAATATTCGTCAATAAATCGTGGAAAGATAATGTTCAATTAATCAAAATGTACAAGTCAGAGCATGGGCGAGGGAGGGCGCGAGGGCGGAGGCCGGTGCGAGTGAGGGCGACCTAAGCTGGCGAGGGTGGGCGCTATGGCGAGGCCACATGATTTATAGCAGAGAATTGATAGCAGTCTCTCTCTTTTCTTTTGTCTTAATTTTCTTTCCTTCTGTGTTAATTCTCTTTCCTTTTGCTCGTTGCCATGTATGCTGATGCATGCAAACATGCAATGTGTACATGGATAGCACAATAATTTTCTACTTCCTATTTTGCAAACATGCAATATTCAATCAAGGAGACAAATCTCGGGCTTTCCTTTTCTCGCTCGCCCGTTGGACAGCATGGGAGGTGGGATCGATCGCATGGGGTGGCGGACGAACCAAGGTAATTGTCGCACCAAAACGATGTCCACACTTTGTTCTTTTTAGTTGTAGGATTAGTTGTAGGAGATTAAACTGGTTGATTTTTTTTTTTCATTTTTTTTAGGCGGATGGGATAGAAGCTTGCCATGTGCCAGGGACGTTCCTTTCACCGAAACTGATTTTGTATATTGTCCTTGAGTTTGTAATTCGGGGTAGCAGGTGCTCTATTAAAGTAGTACGGTTCAGATTTAGTTGGGACTTGGGAATAATATAACCTGGATGGATCATAATTTGTACTAAGCAATTGAGCGGCTATGTGCGGCTATGCGCTAATGATTTAATGGAAGTGCTGTTCTTATGGCACCACCAATGTAGGTATATACCATCATCAACCTCGGATGATGACATAGTTGATACCAAAGTTGTAGATAATAATGCCATATAATTTTGTAGTTGAGAACTTTTTATTTAAGATCATTTAAAGATCCAAATATTCATTCTAAGTAAACAGACTTAAAATTCTTGTTTTTGAAATTTTCAAACGTACTCAGATGGAGACATATTGTATACCCAAATTACAGAGCTTGACAAGGTCTAAAATTTTATAGTTGACTTTTAGCAGCTCAAATTTTGTAGTTGATCATTTTCTATCTTGAGTGTCTTTTCTTCTTAGGCACACATGGCCATTAGCTCATTAATTGAGCACTCAACATTCGTTGCATTGTAACGGATGGTGAAAGGACCATATTCGAGAGGCAATAAAGTCGATGTGCCTCAAACAGAGTAAGAGTCAACTAACGACTTGTATATGCCATCTCATCCAGTATGTCCCTCGATCTAAGGTGTTTTTATTTACTTTTGCTCCTTGGAGATGGCCTAATACTCATATGAATTTTCAAATACCATTTGTTTTAGACTTGCCCTTAGCGCACGCAAAAACTAGTCGTTTTAGACTCTTGGCTAGCTTTTGGAACTTCGTTATTCCTGGTATAATTGGATTTGTCCTGTCTTAACCAACATTTGCAACAGAAGATCCATCCCATTTGCAATAGCAACCGTGAAAAGTTGTAAATGGAAAACCACGTGAGCATACAACCTGCGTACGACCCTTTTCATCCACCAACGGGCAGCAGCGCACTCGTGCTAGTGTCACTCGTAGTACGTCCAAACGTCGTACACCTCACACTCGTGTTTCACAGGTTTTTCATGTACCCCGAGTGTTTTCAATAAAAATTCCCGATCAACAATTAAATGGAGCGCAGAAGGCGATAATCCTCCGGCGCATCCCAGCCGTCCGTACACCTTCCCCATTTCAAACTCTGCCCACCCACCAACGGTCACCTCCGAGGTCCCCGCACTACCATAAAACTGTCACTGCCCTGTGGTCCCCCATGCAATCTCTGACCCACCCGTCAGTGAGCCGCTTCGGCGCATAAATCCGCGCGGAATCCCGTATCATTTTCCAAATTCCAATCCATTCGCAGCCACAAACAAACCCTAGGCCGCCGCCACCCGCCATGGCCAAGAAGAAATCCGCCTCCGCCGCCGCCAATGGCAACGGCAGCCACGCCGCCGCGGCGCCGCCGGCGAAGGCGGCCGCGGAGGTCGCGCCGGCGGCACCGGACGCGCGGGACCGGAAGGCGGAGCAGCTGAAGGCGCTCAACACCATGCTGCTCAAGGAGGCGACGGAGCGGCGCGGGCAGGTGGCGGCGCTAACGGCGCGCCTCGACGAGCTCTCCGCCGACGACGCCGCGCTGGCCGCCGCCGAGCGCGCCGTGGCGCGGGCCGCGCTCGCCGCGCCGCTCAGCGCCGCCGCCGCCGAGGTCGCCGCGCTCCGGGCGCGCCTCGCCGCCGTCCAGGAGTCGCTCAGGGGCGCGGAGTCGCGGGCGGCGCTCGAGGTGGCCGCCAGGGGCGAGGCCGACGCGCGGCTCGAGGCGGCCGCCGTTGAGATGGCGCGGTCGCTGGAGCTGATCCGTGAGAAGGAGGCGGAGGTTGCCGCCGTGTCGAAGAAAGTCTCTAGACTGGAGGCCGTGGTGGCGGAGCTGGAGGGCAGGAACTCCGAGCTGTTTGGCGAGAAGGGTGAGTTGGCGGAGAAGCTGGAGGAGGCCAAGGAGGCTGTTCAGATGGTGTCCGGCGAGAAGGCGGAGGTGGAGAGGAGCCTGCAGGAGTTCAGGAAGGTGGCTGAGGCTTATCGGTTGGAGATGGAGGCTAAGGTGAAAGCAAAGGTGGAGGAACTGAAGGTTCTGAGTGCTAAGAAGGCAGTGGTGGATTCAAGGGTTCACATTTTGGAGGCGGAGCTGGTTGCTGCCCTGTCTAAAACAGGGGAATTGGAGGCTGAGGTGTTGGCTAAGCAGAGGGAGTCTGATTTGGTGAAAGGAGAAAACGATAAGCTTCAGTCAGAGGTGTTAGCAGCCAAGAACAAATACAACTCGTCTGTTGCAGACATTGAAAGTCTCAGGATTGAACTGAGTGCATTGGTGAAGGAGAAAGAGGCCGCTGCTAAGGCATTTGATGCTGAGAAGGCTAGACTTGTGAGTCAATTGGTGGATCTGGAGAAGAAGGTGGAGGAAATCCGGGCTGACAAGAAAACAGCTGAGGGAGCCATTCATGAGAAGGATGCTCATGCCAGTAAGCTGAGGGCTGAATTGGAGGACCTTCAGGCTTCCATGTCCCGGCTCCAAGTATCCTGTGACGACCTTGACACCAAGCGCTCACGCCTACATGATGAGAAGAATTCAGTCGTGAAGGCTCTCGATGCTGAGAAGGCTGAAGCAGCGAAGCTGAGGTTGAAAATCGAGGAGCTCGAGAACTGCAGTGGTGAGAAGGATGGTGACATCAGGAAGCTGAAGGCAGCATTGGATGAGAAGAAGGGGAAAATCGATACCCTGAGCAAGGAGATTGAGCTTCTGCAGCTCGCAGTGGCTGAGGCTCAGAAGAAGAAGGGTGGCATCTGGACATGGCTGTATGCTGCAACCACAACAATGGTAGCTGCCATCTCTTTGATCTATGCCACCAGGTCCAACTGAAGGACTGCTCTCTGTCATTTCTCTTTCATTTTTGCTATGCTCTCTGTTCCTTATATCCACTTATCAACATGTAACTGGAAATGACTGTACTGTTACATGATGGATCAGCTGGTATTATGGAATGAATCGAAACCATTTCCTTCATGCTGATGCTTGCTGTGTTCTTGTTGCTGTCTATTGAATGTGTTTTGCCTGTAACATCCTGTCATGTTGCGCGCGCGACCTCGTGAGTATTGGATGTGGACACAGTACACTGGTCAGAGGTGAATCAAATACTACTTGAGAAGTTATGACATATCTGGGATTGTACTGACATCTTGGTTTGCGGAATGCTTTCCCTAGGTGTCGATATTGCAAAAGTAAGCTCTGTTTGTTTGGTGCGGTATACCAGGCAATAGAACCACTTTTAGATTCCAGAGGTTATCAGCTGGCATTACAGACCAACTGAAACTGTTTGCTGTGTTCTTGTTGCCGCCTATCTGGTATTCTGGCGTGGTTTTGTTGCTACTGAGATGCACGGCTCAAGGCTGGCTTAGTGCATCGGTACCATTTGAAAATCCTTAACCTCGAGTTGAGTTGTTCTTGTTGGCATGTCGGCTGTAGGTACGGACCAACATGATGCAGTACCGTGCTGGGCTGCTGGTGTAAATTGTTAGTAAATTTCCACAGTTATTATTATGACTACTACTATGTTTCACGATTCTTGCAGGTGCTGAAATAAGCCGCAGGTGTACGCTGTCGTTAAGCTGAGCATGCAGGTAATGGTTGCATGGCATTTCGATTGGGACGATGATTCAAGCAAAAGATAAAACAAGATACCTGTCTCGAGATCAGAATTTCAGAAGTTCTATGAATCGTCTTGTGATGATTGATGCCGTGAGAACGAACAGGCGGTGGATTCTGCAGGAATATCCATTACAGATAGCGGACATGTTATAAGCAGACTTGGACTACATGAGAACGAACAGAAAGATTCAAGCAAAAGATAAAACAAGATACCTGTCTCGATCAGAATTTCTGAAGTTCTATGAATTGTTTTGTGATGATTGATTCCGTGAGAACGAACAGGCGGTGGATTCTGCAGGAATATCCATTACAGATAGCGGACATGTTATAAGCAGACTTGGACTACATGAGAACGAACAGAAACGTTATTATGTTTACAGCACTAACAAAAAGGGAAAACCCATCTGCCCACGTTATGGCAGTTTAAGCTCCAAAAGTAGAAATTATCCAATTATACAAGTCAAGAAGCTCCAAGTAATGCCTCTGCTTCCTGTGAATTCATCTACCAAGCTGCATCAACATCAAACAATAGATTTCAGAACTTTTAGAACTTGTGGCTTTCATCTCTGATATCGTCCTATAATTCTGGAGTCTCTGATTTCCTCTTTAGCAGGAGACCCTTCCACTGCACCAGGTTGCTAAAACCCATCATTCCATTCCCTCTTGTCTTGCCAACAGTACCTCCAACTTGCCAGCTACATTGACTCCGTGTCGCTGATGACATAAAATCCTGGAGTTTTTCACCATTGGAATGGTTTTCTTCCATAGAACCAGCATATTTCTCCATCCTTCTCTGGGAAAGCACATGCCATTTTTGGATTCCATAGCCCCAAAAGGACTTCTGAACTAACCACATTAGCCACACGTAAACCTTTTCATTACTAAGCCAACATTTTGCAATTGATTCGAAATTACTACCTAGACTAACAGTGACCACATAAGAAAAAACAAACCAGATTTTCTGAGCTACCACAGAATCAAATAGCATTTGATGTTCAGACTCCCCTCTCACAATAAAATAAGCATGTTTCATCCTCTAGCTTCCCTTTACCTGAATTATCTCTAGCTATACTGTGTCTTTTATATGAGAGTTCACATTGACATGATGTGCATTTTCTGCACTAAGCAGTTTAGTTTCTTATGAAAATTATTACTACACATTCAGAACGGTGGAGAGCTCAAAAATTCGACACGCATATTAGCACTTGGTTCAGATATCCTAGAATTTACTGCTCAGGTTTCTGCATTGGTGAATTTGTATTTTTATTTTATTTTATTATTATTATTATTATTTTGCAAATTTCTTGATCATGAGAATGAAGGGCCATATAAACACACTTGATTCAGATATTAACCTAAAATAGCACATGAGTCTGATTGCAAGCAGCTATAACAACTGACGGCCAAAACAAAGAAACTTTCGGATCCTCTCTATCCAGCACTGGCATTGCCATGGCACCAAGAAGCAAGTAATTCCAGTGCGCATTACAGAAACATTCAGGCTGACAGAACATCCAAGTGCACTATTCGTCATGCTAGGATGCTAGCTGATGAGTGATGATGACAAGGTTTTGTCAACCTCACGGATGTTAACACTTGTACAGAGATCGACCCTAACCAGCAAAGCTTTTTTTCTCAGATTGTGGTGAGTAGCACTAATTCGCCAAACAAAGTGTTTACGGATCAGGAACCATAAAGAAGGGAAAAAGATCAGAGAAAGTAAAGGGTCGGCAAAGGAGCCGTTCATCCATTCCAAGCGGCAAGTGAGCACATCCATTGTGCTATATGCGTGCGTGCCTAACGTTCAAATAAATCTGCAAGAATTTCCTCAAAAAAAAAAAAAACTGCAAGAAGATTGATAGATGTGAGGATTTTCAGTTACCTTTTTCTATATCTATATCTATATACCTATACCTATTAATAAAGAGGCAAAATTTCTTCGACAAATTTTTTTCGTCCAACTAAGACATCGACTACAATAAAAATTTCCGCTAACCACCCATCCAAGTGGGTTTCCGTGTCCGTTAACCACACGTTCAGAAAACCATGGAGACGCCATCCTGGCTACCCACAAAAACACTTTTCTTTTCTGTTTTTATGGTTGGTACGGTCCTTGCTTTTTTTCTTTCTCCTGTTTTTTCTATATATAAACATCAAAATAAATAATAAATGTAATATTATAGCTCTTTGAACTCTTAAATTTTCTATAAATAAAATAAAACAATAAATATAATATTACTGCTCTTTGAACTCTAGATTCTTTTGTATAAATAAATACTCCTATCACTAAATTGTTGATGTAGCTTTGATTAGAAATAAAATTAATTTATGGGCAATGCTAGCGCCGGGACCTCCGGCCCCAGGCCTACGTCCGGACGCAACTCCCGCGCCCGGTGCCCGCATCGCATCCCACGTGCTCCGTCCCATTCCCAACCAGCGCCAGAGTCCGGAACCGCGGCCCGCGCCTCGCACGCAGAACTGCGCCCCGCACCCATCCCGTGTCCGCATGGCGAAACCGCGCCCCGCGCCTACCTGCACTGCTTGTGGATACACGGTGTGGAGGAGTCGCCTCAGGCGTCGACACGTGAACCACGACGGCGCACCTGTAGCAGCAGGCGGACAGCAGCCTGCAACACAAAATCTACTTTTGAAATATCCAGATAAAACATTTGCAACATACGTCTGAAAACTAGATAAAACACTTGAAACATGCAAGTATAGACTTTGCAACATGTGCAATACCAGATTAACTTTTAAAACATCCAGATGAAATATTTGAAACAAACGTATGTAACACCTAAACACTTGAAACATATGCTTGCAACATGCGTATATTACCATTACAACATATGCAATATTTAGATCGACTTTTGCAACATTCATATTAAACACTTGAAACAGTTCAAACACGGCGTCACCGTTGCCATGGCCTACCTGGTTGGGGTATGCGGTAACCAACAAGCTCAGGTGCAAAGGAACGTTGAGGACAAACAGCCTAGCGTGCGCAGCTGAAACGATCCCATTTCCACGAAAGAAAATCCACAGATTCGAAGCATAACGTGATAGTCCTAGGTGATCATTCCATCACATTATCAAATAACAGTCGATATCACAGTCATACATCGAATACCTGTCTTAAGAGAGTACAGATAGCAAGGTTTACTCATTATTACATCACCACTTGGTGGAATCACTCAGAGCATGCAGCAACGAGAACAATATCAAGTAGAATGGAAGCGGGCGTCGACTCCATCTTCACGGACCAAACTCGAGCGTAGGAACAAGACCTCTAATCCTCCCAACCATCTCCCTGGAAGTCGTACTCAGACTTGAAACCTACCAAATAATTATCAGTACGATTTGTACTGGCCACCGGTTCCCACCTTATGCTTTACGTTTGTTTTGTGGTAGTAGAATGCAAGGGAAGAGCAAAAGACCTATTTGTGGCTGTAGTTTACTATGCGAGTATGTCAAGTTTTAATAATAATTCATCAAGTTTTAACCCATCTCAACCACACGTTCACCCATCCCATCACACACATCTCACCACTCTCACACTCTTTAGGCGACAAGGACGACTCCCTCTTGTGCCTTGCCTCATCGGCCAACGCCGAATCCAACACAAGAACCTAGGGGAAGAGAAGAAAGGACTCCACTCAATAATCAAGGGAAGCATAGATCATAAGAATGTCCATATCCAAGGACTCAGCTATACGTATAGATCGATCAACTCTGCAGAGCGTGTACACCTGGAAATCCACAAGATCACCATCATCGACGCGTGCACCGCCTAGGCTGATACCGGGTTGTCTTCCAAACTAGTGCGATACCACCCTGCCACTCAGCCCTGGGCCACCCCAGAGTCCACTGGCACGCTAAGACAGTGAGAAGTAGTACCGGGCCTCCGAAGGTCACTACGCTGTTGTCAGTGTTTCGAACAAACACCGGCTAGTAAATTTATAATTATTGCACGTTAGACCCGGATGGTGCACTGAAGGACACATGGTTTATATTGGTTCGGGCTGAATGTCCCTACGTCCAGTCTGCTGCTGCTCGTGTTATCAGTACCGAAAAGGGTTCGTAGTAGGGGGTACAAACGGTCGAGAGAGGGAAAGGTCCCAAGTCTCTGATGGAATGGTTGAAGGGACGCCAAGAGCGTGGTCGCTGCTTGGCTGTATGTGTGATGTGTTGTGTGTGTCAAACTGATCCCCCCT